TGTAGTAGCCATATCTTTCTCTATGTCGTTTATCTATATCTAAACCTATACCTATAACTGCACCCCTGTGTCTATGTTCGTGTCCGTATCTCTATTTTTGGCTATCTTTGCAAGCCTGTAGTTATATACCAATACCGATGTCTGTATCTATCTGTCTATCTATATCTATCTGTCTATCTCTCTCTCTCTCTCTCTCTGTCTGGCTGTCTGTCCGTCCGTCTGTTTGTCCGTCTGTCTGTCCGTCTGTCTGTCCGTCCGTCTGTCTGTCTGTCTGTCTGTCTGTCGGCCAGCGCGCTTCTTTATTTTTAAATCTGTGCTGCTTTTCTTCATATGTATGTATTATGTTGTCTTGATTTCCGGTACTCCCGGAACAGACTCTGCACCTGTGACTCCAGTTGTAGAATCCTTGCATATCCTTGCTGAAGCCCGAATCTCTGCGGAACCGCAAAAAGGCCCTTGGACCTATCCTGTCAGCCCTGACATGCCAAGAAAAAATCCCAGAAACCTAGGGCCAAGACCTTCGCCCTGCCCCAACCTCACCAAGAGCCTTTCACACAAAGCCTAAGTCCCAAGCTTTGCACCTATAAGCCCTAAAGAACCCAAAGCCCTATATAAGCCCTACCTTAGCCCTGAAGAACCTACCTTTTCAAGGACTTATATAAGGAAATCATAATAAGCAGCCCGAAAAAGGTAGGTTATTCAGGGTTAAGGTCAACCCTAAAACCGTAGGTAAACCCTAACCCTATCCTTCCAAGGACCTCATAGTTAGGGCCCTAGAACCCTTAAGGACCCCACAATACGGTCCCTGGAGGCATAGGGTAAAACCGCTGCCAACCCTAAACTCACCAGGATGCCGGGACCACACTTCTTCGTGAGGCTGAGGCTCATCCTCTAGGGTTGGATGATTCTAGGAATCTACGTTTAAGGGCTCCTTTAAGGGTCCCTTTAAAGGGATCTATAAGGATTCTATAAGGGTATAGGGTTTAGGGTTCATGGGTAGTTATACTTTAGGGTGCTTTTGATAAATCATAGGAGGCCAAAAGGGGTTTTAGCCTATGGGGGTTTAGTAGGGATTAGGGTTCCCATAATAGGGTTCATATTAAGGAATCCCTACCCCAAGAATCTGAACCCCCCCCTTTTGGCCTCCCATCAGATGAATCTAGGAATCTACTTGGAGGTTCATGGGTAGTTACACGAGGGGCTGTAAGTCCCATATCATGGGTCCTAACTATAATTATCCTACTTATGACCCTACTTATAACTAACCATGAAGCTCCAAGTATGCGTCGCAGAATCGATAGTCACGTTCCTTCGGCTTCCCAAGCATCTCTGTAGTTGCCCGGGCTTCAGAACATATCTAGCATAGCCCTTAGGTTTCCCGAATACATCTGATGTAGTATGAAGCGTCTGACAGAGCCGGGTGCATTCATCTATGCTTGTTTCAGGGAGGAGGGCCTTGGGAGCTCTATATATCCCTAAGGGCCCAAGTACCTAATGATCATATAACCATATACTCTCCCAAATATTAACCGATATGCATAAATACTATCCTAAACCCAAGTATCTACTTATTGGTAACTTTGGACCCTTAAGGGTTTAGCTTTTTTTTTTCTGTCGGGGGCTTGACGGCAACAAAACCCGAAGCCATGTTCGAAATATACAAAAACCCCTAAAGCACTTGACCCCAAAGCCCTAAAACCTAAACACCCCAAACCCTAATCAAAACCCAAATCCTAAACCCCTTGACCCCAAACCAAGACCCTAAACTCTTTGACCCCAAACCCCAAACTCAAGGCCTAGGCCGCCCACCTGCGTGCCCCTCGACATCGATGGCACAGAGCGACACAATACGCTCTCCCGCCTTTCCACAGCCGGGACACCCGTGTCGTACCCGGTACCGGAACACGTTCTTCTCGGGACCAGTACTGGCCATTAAAAAAGTCATTGGCCTCAACCCTTAGCCTTGAGTTCCTGCACCCCGCTGCCTGTCCAGACCCCCCCCCCCAAGACTAAGAAGAACCCACTCGAGCAGAATGCTGCCACCCCAAAACCCCCAAATCCCAAACCCAAGCCCCCCTAAACCCTAACCCACACACCCCTATAAGCCCTCAAGGAGCTGGCAGCTGCAGCGTGCCGGGGCGACCCGGCCTGCGGCCTGGCGGTGGCGGCCCGGGAGGTTGCGGCGGGCTGCTTTCGTGGCTAGTACTTTTAGGGGTTTAAAGTTTATAGGGGTTTATAGGGTTTAGAAGAATTTAGGGTGAGGGGGTGGCTAGTACTTGGGTTTAGGGTTTAGGGGTTTAAAGTTAATAGGGGTTTAGTGTTTAAAAGAGTTTAGGGTGATGGGTTTCGGGTTTAGGGGGTTTAGGGTTTAGGGCCCTTTCTTCGGAGGTTGGGTTTTAGGGAGTTTGGGCTAGCATTAGAGAGCCCCTTGGAAGGGACCCTCTTACAGTATATGAGGAATACTACTGTAATCTAATGTATACTCCTCTCCATGGTGATTTCGGGTTTACGGTGGGTTTTTCGGGGCACCCCCCTTCCAGGGACCCTTCTTAACCCTACCTTTGGCTCTCTCAAAGGGACCTTATGGTGAGGGTCATAACCAAGTGCAGGCCACCGGCAATCTGGTGTCGTCGTTGCAGGACTTCGTGAAGCTCCCAGTCTCAAAGGTGCATTTGCACATGGTTTATTTCTTCAATACCTCTGAGGCACAAGACAGTTTTTGGAGCGGCTACCAAACCTGCTTGGAAGCCAGGCTCCAAAGCTCCAAGGTAGGATGCTGTTGCGTCCTGCCCTAAGGGTCCATGTATCCCAAGAGTATATACTTTGGGCCCAATGTACTTGTATAGGAACTACATTAAGGCCAATGTATAGACTATTTGGGTACATGGACCCTTAGGGCTGTGGTGCAGGAGATGGGCCGGGGACGCGGAATGCCGCCTCCATCTAGCTCAGCTAGTCGGGGTCTTGGGTTTTAGAGTTCAGACTTTTAGGGTTCAGGGCTTTGGGGTATAGGGTTTACTGTAGGATTCAGGGTTTTTGGGGTAATAGGATATCGGGTTTAGGATTGCAAAACCGTCAGTGTGGATGTTGTTGCCTGGCTCAGACCCTCTAATCTGACATAACTTCCGCAATTCCCCAAACCGCAGTGGACCTGCCTTTTGGGTTTAGGGGCTTATCTTTGCGTAAGCAAGGGGGCAGAAGATGTCCTGAAACCGGGCTATAATTGATGCAATCAATATTGGGGGAGGGGGGGGGGGGGGAAATTGAGCGGCTCACAGGAACTAGTTGTTGTTTTTTTGGGGGAGGGGGGGTGGTATTTGAGATATCAGTTAGAATTGCTGCAATGCTGTGGATGATTTGTGAGCGTCAGCGCGAGCACCACGAGATTTTTAAGGGTTCCCCTGATCCTAACTCCAATGCTTTCTTCGGAGTTTAGGGTCAAGGCAGTTTGGGGAGTGTAAGGAGTGTAGTGCCCAGAGCTCGGAGGCTTTAGATTCGGGGGTTTGTGGTTGAGGGCTTAACTTTCTCTTGTTTCGGAAGTGTGTTACTGGCGACAGCTTGTTTGATGTGCGGTATGCAGCTACCTCCAATAGCCTTCATTGCAGCTCTGTTCTGGGCTACCTTATTGCAGGGCCCTAAACAGAAAAGGCAATGCTAGGGGTCCAAGAGCAATCTTCCATCTTACAAAAAATCTACTATCCTAAACCCAAGTACCTCAGGTCCTTTAGACCACTATAAGGGAATTGTTACTATAGGTAGTTACTGGGAACCAGGCCTTTAGTCCATTTGTGTCCTGACCTGCTGCTCCATGTGTGTGCTCCATTGCATTGCTTGAGGGCTTCGGGTTTAGGGTAGGTCCATTTTTGGGTTTAGGGTTCGGGGTTTAGGGTTTAGGGGTTGAGGGTTTCGGGGTTTGGGGTCTAGGGTTTAGGGGTTGAGGGTTTCGGGGTTGAGAGGTTAAGGTTGTTTAGGGTTAGGTTCCAGCCGGCTTCGTTGATCAATCCGGATGTGTCCGTATGTTCGCAGTTTGCGCCCACACCAAAAGGCTACTACATAGAAGCTTGAACCAACGGTATTCCAGCGAGTTCCTGATCCCAACCATACCGTACTATACCCCCAAACCCTATTCTAGCAATTCAGGCCCGTGAATGATCCACTCCAAGACCTGCCAAAAACCTTGCACTTACAGCCAGAATCCTGAACCTATGGACCCTTAGCCCGAACCCAAATCCCGGATCCCTAATCCTGGAAGATCCCCTAAGCCCTGAAGTCCTAAATCCGAAAACCACAAGCCCTATATACTCTAAGCCCACGAGGGCGCCAGAGGGTGTTGCGGTTCTGGCTGAAAGCCCAGAGTGGCTAGTGCAACGGAGAGAAAGAGAACACCTCAGAAACCCGCAGCCTTAACACAAAACGCGAACCCTGAACGCCCCTGAACCCGAAAACCAAACCTTAGGGCCTCAATCCGAAATCCAACATCCCAAACCACTAAAAAGAAACCCCCAAAGCATTGACAACTCTAGGATACCCAGTAGTACCCTTATTCCCTTTTTGTAGTCCTAGGTTCCTTATAAAGTTGCCCAATACCAAAAAGAGAGGCCTTTTTATTCTTAGGTTACTGGGTATCCTAGAACTTGTCGCAGGGTTCCTGCGTGGCCTTCTGGACCCGGCCTTTCGCTCCGTTTAGTGTTGAGGGGTTTAGGGTTTCAGGGGGATTTAGGGTTTCGGGCTCCCTGTTAGGGGTTTAGGTTTCCCTTTCAAAAGGGCTTCGTTCTGGGTTGCAGTTCAAAGAGCTTTGTTGAGGCTTTTTGGTGTTTGTGGCAAGTTCGTGTTGAGAGTTTACCTCCCTCTATTTGGGTAGTGCCTTGATGTAACCGCCAGTGTGGACAGTATGCTGACCCGACGAAGAAGCGGCTTCTGTTCCTTTGAAAGTTCGGTTGAGGGCCTCCGATTCGGGTTATATGTGCTGCCGTGCCTTGTTCGAAAGGAGACTGCCATCCATGTATCCCTTGCCAACTGTAGACGGTATCCACGTGCTCGAAGCCGATTTCGATCCAGCTCGTTACACGAGGTAGCTCCACTAAAATACCCGCTTCAGCTAAAACAACGCTGAAACCCAAACCTTATAACGGCGCAGTCCAAACCCTAAACGCTAGTAATCCCAAACTCCAAAACCCCCTATATTAGGCCCTATATTGCTTGAATCCGAAACGAAGACAATTAGCCAAGGACCCCAAGCACTGGCTCTGTGGATGTTTCTTGGCTTCTAAATTATATTCTTTAGTGTTATGCAGCTTTTAATTGTAACAGCTGTAATAAGACTCCAAGGGATCAGTAAACATGCTCTTTGGTTGGGGTTCTAAGGCGCTGACGTAAAAGCCACGGCAAGGGCCCCCGGAACCGGAAGAGTTCGCAAAGCAACATCTGGCAGTCTAGGGCCTAATGCCTCCGGGTTTGAGGGCAATTTAGGGTTCACCTGGACCCCAGAGGTAGTGCAGAACAACTGGCAGCTTTTATGGGTGTTGGGGCCATTATGTTTCTACTGTTGGGGGTTCGGGCAGCCATTGCCCGGACGATGCGCAAAGAAACGATGTAAAACCTAAATCCTAAACCCTATACCCTTCCCTAAACCCTTAACTTTGCTGATGCGAGCGTCTGTTTCGGGACTTAGCTATGACTTGAGAACCTTGACTTTTCGGGCTTCTTTCGGGCGCTGATTGCGGGAGTATGGGGTTTAAACCGTAAACCTTTAGAGAAAGTTCTAAGTGCCATGATGTTACCAAAGCCTTGGACAGTTGGAACCGTCTATAGACCTTGAGACCTGTTCTCGGCACTCCATATATAAGTCTTCCAGATGAACGTCTGGAGTTTAAGGTTCAGGGATGGTGTGTTCAAGGCTCTCATGCCAGGGTTGCTGGTTCTGTAGTTTTCGTCCTGGCTTATTTGACCTCTTCATCCCTATTTCCGGCTCGGGCTATGAAGCCCTGGTGGTGATAACAGAAGTGACGACATGCTGATGGCGGTAGTGGTGGCGGTGGTGGCGTACTCGACTCCCCTAAAGCCCTCGATCAACCTTAAATCCTAAACCCCTCAACCCTAAACCCCTAAACCCCTCACCCCTGAACCCTAAGCTCTGCTGTCCGTCTCCTACTTCAGGCTGCTTCCTGGCACGGCGGCGCAGCCGTGCGTGGTGAAGGGAAGGGGAAGTGGACCCTTCAGCTGCTCGACTTGTTTGAGTGTTTCAAGTTGAGTTGAAGACTTACATAAGGACTGTACTACCAGGCCCTTAAAGAAGGGACCTGTTGAAGATACCGCCAGCCTTTATGTCCGCCAGAAACAACATCTCCAGAGATAATTGGGCCTTGGTATTCAGGAGGGACATATTCTATAGAGGGACCGTATTAAAGAACTGATGTCGTTTTGTAGTTTTGGCAATACTGGCAGTAGCTCGTATGAGACGCAAGTCCGTGCCCCATTGCCTACCCGCCATTACCCGCCCGGAAGCCCCCAAAGCCTCCGCCCGAAGCTTTATAAGCCCTAAGCATGAGCCTTAAGGGTTCCTTTGTAGGGCGAACCCTAAGGGTCCATGTACCCAACTAGTATATACATTGACGTTAAAGTAGTCCCTATACAGGTAGAAAGTATATACTATTTGGGCACATGGACCCTTAGGGGAATAGCTTGAGCTTCCGCCAGGCTGAGACTTCTGTTCATGGTTGCAACGGCAGACCTGCAAAACCGAAGTATCTTCGTCCTCTTTCAACCCTAGAACCCGAACCCCCTGAACCCTAGAATAAAAACCCAGCCCCCAAAACCCCCAAACCCCTAAACCCCCAAGCCCCAAAACCCCTAAACCCGAAACCCCTAAAACAGCAGACTGCGTGCATAAGCGCCTGAATACCTAAACCCCTACCTGGAGGCTCATACCCTACCCCTTTTTTAGGGCGCCTACTTTTTAAGATAACAGATCCTAACCATAAAACTAGGTACCCTAAAAAAGGGGTAGGGTATGAGCCTCTAGGTAAACCCTAAGCCCTACACCTTAGCCGTCGCCCGGCTTCCACCGAGGAAGTTTCGGGAGGCTCCCGAAAGGCGAGAGTGCTGTGCTGAGGCGCCTGAGGGGGCTCTTGGGGAGGATGGATTCGGGATAATTGTTAATGTCCTTTGTCTTAATATAGAGCCCAAATTATATCTAGTTTTGGTGACTGTTGAAAATCGGCACCTATAGTATAGTATATACTTAGGCCTGAAATGGGGTTCCTATATAGCTACCTGTAGGCCCAGTACATACGGTGGATGATATAAATCCTGCATTACCTCAAGGACCCCAAACTCTGGGAATTATGGTATATTCCTTATTATGGGTAATGCAGGATTTATATCATCAACCGTACGACATGGTTACATGGAGCCTTATAGGGCTTGGAGCGGGAAGGAAACGATCTGTCTGGCTAGACCCTCGAGTTGAGGCCACCCCGGCGTACCACAGGAGCTGCTGCCAAGACCGACAGCCAGTTTGTGACAGTGTGGGGTTGGGATTGGTGAGAGGTGGTCAGAGAGTTTACATGGGAGAAAGCCCGCGGAAGCCACTTCAAAGCATTCTTATGCTTGTTGGGACAGTGTTTATTGGGGAGTAACGGCACTTCCCGGTGCTTGAGATGCTGACGGTTCTTAAGTGTTTGCATAAGTTGGACTTTGTTGTGTTGTGCCTTTCTGGTCCGTTTGACATTCCGGCCTGCGGGAGATCCACACCCGAGCGACCTTAGATGATATCACTTGAACTCCGGCTTGCTGCTATCATAGTAAGAAAAGAAGGGCAACGACAACAAGGGCTCTTCGCATCATTTCTGCCATCACTGCCACCATCGTAGTCATCACCGTCGTCATCAGGATCAACATCATCAGCATCGTCACCGTTATCAACAGCAGTGGCATCAACATCGTAATTGTCACCGCCATGCCATCATCATGATCATGATAATCATCATCATCATCATCATCATCATCATCGCCGCTCTCGCCATCACCGTCGTCATCATCATCACCATCGATCCGGAAGCTGAATAGTTACATGTGCACCGCACCGATCATGTTAGCCAAAGCGCAGCTACTGCTCGCAAGAACAGCACAAGAACTGATTAAGTCCAATACCACCAAGACTGTTGCTACCAGACTCTACTGCTCCTCCTGCTATTGCAGCGAATGCTTCTTGGGTTCATGGCACATCCCAACGAAGCTATATTGTCCCTCTAGCCTAATTCCACTGCAAGCCCAACTCCATGATCCTTAGATCCGAGGCCCCAAGCTGTAGGCCCTGAACCTTCCCAGATGGGCCGCTAGGAGGCTTTTTTTTTAAGAACATGTTTTAGATGATCTTATTTAGGAGCCTTTTACAGAGTCTGTAAATGGATAACTTAGCAAACAGCCCTAAATTCTGGCTCTTAAACCCAGATTCCCGAGCCTATTGCCCGAGCGTGCAATCACCACAACACAAACAAACGCGTAACTTACCCGAAAGCCTAAACCTAAACTTTGAATCCCTTGGTGACCCCAGCCTCAAATCTAAAAGCCGCAGCAAATGGATTAGATAGGATGTGAACCTCCTACACCCCCAAACCCTATTTAAAACCGAAAACTCAAGCTTGAAACCTGAAAAACAAAAGTCGTAAGACTCGGAACCATAAACCCCTGAACCCTGAATCCCTAACCCCTAAACCCCTGAAGCCTAAACCCCCAAACCCCCAATCCCTAAAACCCGAAACCCCTAAACCCCTAAACCCAAAGCCCCGGAAACCCTTGTACCCTGAACCCCTAAACCAAAAGTGTTTCCTTCCAGATCCCTTCAAGGAGCCCTTATAGAACCCCTACAGGTCTCTTTAAAGAATCCCCCTATGTCCCATCCCTAATGGTGGAGGCAGGATCCCTTTCAGGAAGCCCTTACCCAGAGACTCCAAAACCCCTTCATTAAGGAATATACCTTAAATCATATAAGGAATCCTATTATAATTGAAGGTATATTCCTTAATTAAGGGGTTTTGGAGGCTCTGGGTAAGCAACCCCTTAAGGACCCCTTTAAGGAACCCCATCCCATCCCTAGTCGTGGAGGCCTTTGCCCGAAGCCACGGAGCTCTCTGCTTGCCCAAGACATGTGCCGGAGTCCGCTTCGTCCGAATCCCCAAGAAGTTTAGGGGTTTAGGGTTTATCAACGGTTTAGGGTTTAGGGGTTTAGGGTTTATCAAAGGGGAAAAGGTTTAGGGTTTAGGGTTTAGGCTTCGTCCGAAGCCCCAAGAAGTTTAGGGGTTTAGGGTTTATCAAAGGGGAAAAAGGTTTAGGGTTTAGGATTTAGGGAGTCCGCTTCGTCCGAAGCCCCAAGAGCTTTGCAACTTAGGGGTTTAGGGTTTATCAAAGGGGAAAAGGAGGGACCCTTAATGACAACCCCTACCCTATGATGGGCTATATAATGGGTATATAATATAATAGCTATATTAAGGGTATATACCTTGGGGTCCTTATTAAGGGTACCTCCTTTTACCCTTGGAGTTTAGGGAGGGGGTGTTTATGGCCTAAGCCTTTTGAAGTTTATGTTTTAGGGATATATGGTTTAGGATTTTAAGAGTGGGATTTTTCATGGTTTAGGGCCGACAGGGTTTATTGGTTTGGTGTTATCATAGGGACCCTTAACTGGGTAAGGGGGAGGAGTGTAAGGGACTATACTTGCTTGAACAGGCCTTATGGATTGGGTTCCTTATTATGGGCATTCAGGCCCCCTACCCCCTCTCCCCCTACCCCCCTAAGGGTCCCTATGCCGTCAGGGGTCGAGAGTAGTAGCGCCTTCATGGTCTCCGTGTGGGTTTTTCCTCATGGGAGTTTCAGAAAATGAGGGGTGCCTTATTTCGGGGTCCTTAGAATAAGGATCCTGCTATTTAAGGTACTACATTAGGGTCCCCCATTTTCGGAAACTCCCATATCTGTAGTTGAAACTTCATGTCCTCATCAGCTTCGGGTTCTTCCGGGGGAGGGGGGACATGAAGAAGACAGGGGGAAGGAGGGTCTTGGGCCTGACGTTTTGGTAGTATTGCGAATAACATTTAGGGTTTAGGGAGTCTATGTTAGAGCAAGCTCTCTTACTATTAATGTACCGGGATCTGTACTTATCGGAAAGGGACGCGTGATAACACCTAGAACCCGTAACAGATGCTCGTTGTATTTAGGGTTCGTCACAGATATGACACCAAGTCAGAGGGACTTCGTGGCACCGGGTTTGGGAGTGAGTTAAGGGAGGAACCTGATTAAGAAACCTTGGGCCTATAACCCCAGAATAGCAAGATTCACACAAGGAGCCCTAATAAATTCAAAGGCCCGAGGTTTCCTAATCAGGTTCCTGCATTATATAGTCAGGTTGTAGGCTTTCGGCTTGACTTCCAGCTTCGAGAACAGCGAGGTTCCTCAGTAGTGCCCTTTTGCCCTGGTCCATTTGGGGTCCGCCCCCTTATTCAAACCAAAGAATAAGACAAAGGGTACCCTTATTCAGGGGCTACTCAGGAACTTAGCCAGAGTGCGCACTTAGTTGGCACGCAGAGTTTCCAACCATATGGGACCCCAATGAACCCTTATCCCGATGCCGATTACCCTTCCTAAGGGTCCATGTATCCAAATAGTATAGACTTTGGGCCCATAATGTCCCTATATAGGGACTACATTAAGGCCCATAATGTCCCTATATAGGGACTACATTAAGGCCAATGTATACACTGTTTGGGTACATGGACCCTTAGGGCCTAAACCCTGAAGCCTCAGGCCGTAGTTTCTAAACCTTACAGACCCGCAGGACCCTTGAAGAACTTGCAGAGCCCTCATGATGTAGGGGCCTTCAATACTTCGTGGCAGTGAGAAATTGACAGAGTTTTGGGAACCATGAACTACTTCCTATATTCAGGAACCCTAAGATAATACACTTGAAGCTCTTATGACCCCAGCTACCCTCTGTTTTGCTCTCCAAAACCCCCACGGTTAAGGAGCGTAGAATTAAAACGCTTCAAGAACAGGGCTCTTGGGGGGTTCCCAGAGACTCCAATATCCCTTAATTGAGGGATATACCTCAAATTATAGTAGGATCCCTAATATGATAATCCCTAATATGATATAAGGAATTTAAGGTATATTCCTTGATTAAGGGATATTGGAGTCTCCTAAACCCTAAACTTTGTAGATCCCCCGAAGGCTCCCTTAATCCCTGTAAGGATCCCTTACAGACTTATAGATGCCTCAAAGGAACCCTACTTGGAGGATCATGAGACTTAGTGGGTATGGTTATCAGTACCTTAATTGGGGTTATAAGCAGTTATAAGTATAGTTTCCGTAACAACAACCTTAGTTACCAAGTCCCATGACCCTTTAAGTAGCCCTAAGACCCCTCTTATGGAACCCTTATAGACCCCTTTTACGGAGCCCTTTAAAGAACCCTATAGTTACCAAGTCCCATGACCCTTCAAGTGGGTATTCCTTTATGGCTTCTGGCCGAGGTCGAAGGCGAGCCGGCTCTGCCGCCCCCGGGCCCCGGCGCCAAAGCGACCCGGGCGATGTCGCGACGTGGAGAAATGATCGAATCGGTGCTTGCTGCGACGATAGGCTTAGGGTTTAGGGCTTAGGGATAGTCTCCTTAGGATTTTTTTAGTTTTTGTTCATATAAAACCCAAGAGAATATTCAAAATACTAAGAGGCTTAGTAAATGAAAGCTCCCTCCCGTCTAGAGAACAACAAGACCCATAAGTGACGACGAGGACCTGAACCCCATACCCTGAATCCTAAACCCTGTACCCTAAACCGCCCTACATATCCCTTATGCCCAAAAGCCGAAACCCTGAACCCGACACCCTGAGCCCTGAACACCTAAGGCTCGGAGCCATAATCTGTGTGCTTTATAAGGGCTTAGCCCGGCTGAGGTTTAGGCCCTAAACCCTAAACCCGAAACTTAGGGTTTAGGGTTTAGTTAGGATTTAGGGTTTAGAGCTTAGGGGTTTTATTCCCTAAGCCCCAAATCTTAAACCCTAAACTTCATGGTTTAGGATTGACAGTAGAGTGTTTAAGCTGTCATCGTTGCGGGTGCAGGGTTCGCGGTGAAGGGTTGGAGTATATTCTAGTGGAAGTACTATGTGAAACCCTGAGGAATCACGTGGGTAGTGATTCAGGCCTCTATAGTGGGCTCTTGCTAAGGAACTTCGCTTAATTAAGCCCCAATGGCAGGGATCTAGAGTATCCAGTATGGTTTCCGTGTTATGGCACTTTAAACGAGTTCCTTAACAAGAATACTACCGTAAGGTCTTGTATACGCTTAGGCCTTAAAGTAGCCTGTATCATGAAGGTATTTTGGGACCAAAGTCACTAGTTGGGTACATGGACACTTAGGGAGAAGAACCCAGCATATTACCCCTCCGAATCTCCGAAGAAGGACTTGATTGATGAGGAAGAGTATGCTTTGATCAAGAACCTCAAGGACAGAGGGTTTCGGGTCTGGGACATGTTCTGTGATTAGGGTTTAAGATTTATGGTTGGGGTTTTGGGTTTAGGACATATCTTGATGTTCGTTTGGCGTTCCTCCTTTAATGGGCTGCAGGCTCGTTTTAGAGGTTTCCACGGCTTAGGGCTGAGGGATTCCGGTTCGTGGTTTCGGGCTTCGCAAGATTCCTAGCAACATAGCGGCTTTAATGCTTAGGGCAGGTTCACGCAGATACAGATACAGATAGGTCTGAGGGTAGAACCCTAAACCCTAAACCCTAAACCCTAAACCCTAAACCCTAAACCGTAGAAGTCGTGGAGAATGCTAGAAGGAGCTGAGCAAGTTGAGCCCTTCTTAGTCCGCACGTTATGTGAGGCTGTAAAGGTTGCATCCTTCCGCACAAGAACCAGGAACATGAAGGAACAACGCTTGAAGTTTCGTAAGAATCCTTTCCTGAGCTCAAAAAGTCCTAGCAAAACCGCAGCATCAGAGCTCCAAACTCAATTTTACCACTCGTCGCTCCAGCACCAGCTGCCACACGGTTGGTGATATAACTCCCTCAGTACCCATAATAAGGAATATACCAAAATTCCGATAGTTTAGGGTCCTTAAGGTAATGCAGGATTTATATCATCCACCGCAGTCTTGCGAATACTTCAGGGCTGGAGTGCCGCGACCCTTAGGGATCTGTGTTGTTGTGTTGTGCAGGATCTGCTTCGGGATGACAAGGGACGGTTGAGGGTACCGCTGCCGGGTAGGACCCCTTTTGCATCCCGACCTTAACCTACCAAAACCTACGTTTTCTGTCGGGTCCCTCTGAATTCAATAATCAGAACCCTACAAGAAGGTGGGGTTTGGTAGTTTAAGGTAGGTTCCTCAGCAGTACCCTTTTGGCCCTTTTTGTCTTTGGGTGTCCTTACAAGAACCAAACAGTACGGTGGATGATCTATATCCTGCATTACCTGTAATAAGGAATATACCAAAATTCCCATAGTTTAGGGTCCTCAAGGCAATGCAGGATTTATATCATCAACCGTAGGAAAAGAGATAGAAGCCTCATCAGACCCTACAGGGCTCCAGAGGCACCCAGCTCAACAACTCGAGCCCTAACCCCCTGAACTTTAACATGTAAAACCCTAAAACCCTAAACCCTCAAAGCCCTAAAACCCTAAACCGCTAGACCCCTAAACCCCTAAACCCTCAAAACCCTTTACCCCTAAACTCCTAAACCACAGAAGATGCAGGAAACCAAGCAGCAGTACCGAGAAGCTTTCGAGCGGCATAGCCGAGTGAAGACCGAGGCGGGCATGGAAGAAGCCAGCGTTTAGGGTTCAAAGGTTTGGGCTGAGGGTTTGAGGTTCGAAGGTTTGGGCCGAGGGTTTAGGGTTCAAAGGTTTAGGGTTTAGGTAGGGTTTAGGGTTCAAAGGTTTAGGGTTTAGGGTTCTATGGCTTAGGGTTTGGGGTTCCGGATTTAGGGTTTATATAGGGTTCAGGGTTTCGGGAATGGGTATATACCTAGGGGTCCTTAATAACTACTATTTGCTTGAGAAGCCACCAAAACTAAAGATAATAATCCCTATATTACCCCCATAAGGAATATATTTTTTCTTTTTTGTGGGTTCTTAAGCAACTAGTAGATAACGGTCCCTCCTTTGACCCTTGGCTTAAGGAGATGACTCCTGGAGATTTAGGGTCGGTCGAGGTTTGCAGGGTATTACTTCGGGTTTAGGGTTTGGGGGTTTAGAGTTTAGGGGTTTAGAGGGTTTAGGGGTTGAGAGTTTAGGGTTGAGGGTTTAGAGTTTAGGGGTTGAGGGTTTAGGGTTGAGGGGTTGAGGGTTTAGGGGTTGAGGGTTTAGGGGAAGGGTAGGCTTTGGGAATCATGGCCTCAGCTTCAGGGTATAGGGGTGTACGATATAGGCTTAAAGCCTAAAGCCTAGCGTTTATGGGCATCAGAGCATGAGAGTGTGGTTTTCGGTATGTAGGGAGTCCCGAACCATTACAAAATCCTGAAACAATCTTGCTGAGGATTGCGACATCAGAATCAGAATTGTCAGAATTACAGAGCCAGTACAACCCTACTAACACCCTAAACCCAATTGGCTTCTAGATGAACCCTCCAAAAACTTCCTTCAGGTTGTTCAGATCGAGCACCTCATGCAGCAATGCAAAGCCCGACTGGTGCAGGGTTTCGAGGCCTTTATTGCCATTTATTTGCTCAGCGTTTGGCGGTTCCAGCGGGCCTGAATACGCCCGATGAGGATTCTATAAGCATGCAAGGCGTTATGTCTTTTTTGCTGGTTAGGCTCAAGAATACATCTGTGTTGCTGGTTTTCGGATTGCTGCGTTCGGTATGACTTGCAAGAATTTGGGAGCATTACACTCACGATTGACATCGAAGCAATCGTGATCAAAGGTTGACATCCCGGTTGCGGGCTCAGGGCATAGTATAGGGGGGCCTTAATAATGAGAATAGGGTTTTTGGGGCCCAGTACACGAAACTATAATCAGGAACCCCCGCAATAATATTGGCGATTATTGAGGCTTTTATGCCCAAAGGGTCCTATGTACCGATATAGTAGAATGTAGGGTTTCCATATCAGGAATTACGATTATGGCTTAGGGAAGTATCCCCCATAACAGTACATAGGACCCTTTGGGATAGTAGGAGTTTCCATCCCAAATTACCTAAATGACACGCAATTCGAAGCGATGTTCCTGCGCCCTAACCCGCCCTCCCACCAGTACAAACCGAAAGCAAATCCCCTTCTACCCACCTGCACAATCCTAAAGCACAATTCAGTTCTGACGGGTCGACCCGACGAGGTCTCCGTCTGTGCAAGGTGATCTCTCGTTTAATTTATCATCGCATTGCATATGTGTATGTACTTGCGGAAACTGTGTGTGCATGTTTCTATGCTTGCGGCAAGTTGATTTCATGCTTGCCTGGCTTCACTCTCTCTTGCCTGCAGCCGGAAGGGATCCGGGGCGCTGGCCGACGTCCTTGACCTTTGCCGCGAAAGCTACGAAAGTTGTTACCCCTACTACCCTGAGCCCAATACCCGTGCAGAACCCATGTAGATGCCTTTCAACAATCCGTTTTTGGTGCAGGTCCTATGGTCCTATGCTTTCGATAAAGCATAAGTCCTTCTGCCGTGAAAGACTCGAGGGCTCGCGGACACCTGGGCCCAAAGTCCTGGGCCCAAAACGCTTGCCTTTAGGGTTTGCGGTTACCAAGCGCAAACCAGCAAACCCGGCACCCCACCCTTGTACCGGAACCTTGAACCTGGGTCCGGGTCGCAAATCACCTCGAATGTAGACTAGCCCCCAAATCCTAACCTCTACCAAAATTTGTTTATCGCTAAACCCCTGGACGCCGAACCCTAAACCCCTAAGCCTTTAGCGGCCTTTAGTGTTTTGGGTGCCCTGTTCCCTGAACCCAAATACCCTAATACCCGACTACCCTGCTACCCTAAGCCCTGATGCCTCAATCCCCTTTGACTTTAGGGCTTTAGGGTTCCCCCAGCCCTACACCTTCAACCCTCAACTAGACCTAGGACCCTAAACCCCTTAACTTGTAAGTCCTGAATCCTAAACTCCAAACCATTAAACCCCGAATCCGAAACCCTGAACCCCTAAACCCCTATATAACTAAGCCCAACAGGGTCCCATGTACTGTTATGGGGGATACCTCCCTAAGTCATAATTAGTAATTCCTAGCATGGAAACCCTACATCTATATCGGTATATAGGGCCCTTTGGAGCCCTACAGTAGTAGCCAGAAAGTTGGAACATGACTATCCTCATGCCCTTAAGATAAAGTATAAAGGGAACTCCAGAAAGTTGGAATATGGCTTCAGGGTAGGATACCCTAAAATTAACCATAAAGGGTTTAGGATAATCATATTCCAACTTTCTGGCTATTACTGTAAGGGATCCTAGCACTAATCCTACTAAAGTGATGTTCCAACTTTCTGGCTTCTACTATAACTTGACAGGAGTACTACGACCAGAAGTATGGCCACCTGGTGAGGCAAGCCGAGGCCGGGTTAGTGTACTGAGAAAGGCTTCCTTTCAAAGGATACCAGGCGTTTAGGATTTAGGGTTCCTTTTCAAGGGGTCTATAAGGGCTACTATAAGGGTTTAGTATAGAGGCCTTCATAATTACCTAAACTATTTTGGGGGGTTCCTTATTATGGTGCTAGTCTAGTCGGCGCCAAAGCCCTATTCTAATTGTTAAGGCCCCGTATTATGGAATCTTATATTAACCAAACAACCTAAACTTAGGGACCAAAAAAGCACATAAGCATAAGCATTCTATAAGGGTATCCCTACCTTCTTGGGCTTCATCATAAGGGGTTTCATATAGGATATCCCTACCCTTATCTTGGGTTATGTTCTTTTTGGAGCCCTACAAGCAGCCGAAGCCACCAAGACCCTAGAACCTGAGCACTAAACCATACACCCTCGACCCAACACCCTTGAACTCCAAATCCTAAGCCGTCAAACCCCAGACCCGAGAAACGCAGAGTCCCCATAGACCCCAGCCCTAACAACCCTAACCCGCAAAGCAAGCCTTCAAGAACCTATTGGTGATCTTGACCTACCACTTCACTTCTGCAGATCCCAGCTCACAAAAGTAGGTAGGTTATGGTCATGTACGGTAGATCCTAAAGAACCCACAGACCCTGAACCCACAAACCGCCAAATCCTAAACCTGGCTTTCGCTTCTCAGGCGCCAGAGGACGAAGGCGAACGCTACGATCCCCAGGACGCAGACGGTAGACTCACCAGACGCGACATGCTGGATCTGCAACATACTTTGTCATAGTTGGGTAACATTTTACATCTTTATGGGTACTTGTACCCAATATTAATAAGGAAGAAACATTTGAACCTTTACTATTATTCCAGCCATGAACTAGTATAGGTGCCTAAATAATTCTCATTACTGCTTTTGGGGTACCTTGTTGATCCTTTAATCATCGGAGACTATATACCCCAAAGCCCTTCTCTAATTATTCAGCCCCTACAGTCCCACAGGGTCGAATCGACTCTTATGGGGGATACTTCCCTTAATCATCAATGTAATTCCTAGTATGGAAACCCTACATTCTACTATATGGGAGTTTCCGAAAAAGAGGGGTACCTTATGTGGGGGTCCTTGTAATAAGGATCCTACTACGTAGGGTACTATATGAGGGTCCCCTATTTTCGGAAATCCCCATATCGGTACATAGGACCCTTTGGGAGTATGCTCTCCCAGCATCAAGCCCTCACGCGAAGCTCCAAGCGCTCAATTCGACAAGCAAAGTCCGAAGCCGTGAACAAGAGCCGTGAGCGAGCTTAAGCCCTCTGGCTGTTCGAAGCAGCGCTTATTGGTAGTTTTGTTTGGCTCTCAAAGCTTGACTCTCAACTTGACTCTGGGGTTTTACTAGTTTGACGAATAATAACCCCACCGCAATCTATGTAAAACCTGGCCAGGCAGAAGGTGCTTGCAGATTAAAAGCAGAGCTGCAAGTATTGAGTGGAAGCTCTGAGTGGGTATAAGGTTTGGGCTTTAGAAGTTGAGGTTTAGGATTTAGCTGTGAAGGTAAAGTCCTCAGGGTTCCATTACGTAGTCTGTTTTTGCGGCGGGGATGTAATGCTTTGTTTAATTCGGGAGTGGAGGCATCTAGGCCCGAGAATCCTGTCGTTTCGATTCCAGAAGTTGCCAGGCACCCAACATCTCCTCTGAGCCATTCTGAGCCTTAATTAATTGACTGCAATTACCAACCCCGAACCCCAAGGCCTAAACCTCCACTGAGTGTCTACACCAACTACCTCAGCCTACACAAACGGGAACAGAGTATCCTTCGGAACCCGTGGCCGTATTTAGGGGGCCTTATCCGTTCTGTTGATGATACAAACCCGCATAACCCATCAGAAGGCAAAATTATACCATCATTCCCATAATCTAGGGTCAGTAAGGTAATGCAGGATTTATATCATCAACCTAAACCCTCAACCCCAAACCGCCCTATAGATCCCTTAAAGGAGCCCTTTAAGGGTACCCCTTATAGCTCCCTAAATCATCAACCGTTGGACTACCAGGAGATGTTCGATCTGGCAGAGGCCGATCGCTTGGAGACGCAGCACCCGGATGCCATGGCGTGCGCCGTCATTGGCTTGGGGTTTAGGGTTTAGGGTTTAGGGTTTAGGGATGGGAATGTTCCCCAAAGGGTCCTATGGTTGATGACAGAAATCCTGCATTGCCCATAATAAGGAATATGCCATAATTCCCATATTTTAGGGTCCTTAAGGCAATGCAGGGTTTATATCATCAACAGTATGTGCTGTTATGGGGGATACTCCCCTAAGTCATAAAATAGTAATTCCTAACATGGAAACCCTACATTCTACCATATCGGTACATAGCACCCTTTGGGTTCCGCGGTGTGAGCACTCGAGTACAGAAGCTGGAGTGCTTAGGAATTCCATTCCTGAGGATTGCACATTGTAACTACGCCATATATTTCTTACTTAGCCTATTGGAGAACTTTAAACTTTTTGGCTTCATATATTTGGTCTAGCTTAAAAGTTAGAACTTTGTTTGGGCCTGGTTATTGGAGAAGAGAGATTTAGTACCCCAAAACCCTATTGGTACCAGTAAGGCCCCTGAAAAACACTCCGAGCCTGAAAATCCTGAACTCTCTATCTCTACACTTATGTTGCACCTATCCTCGGCAAGTGCTCTACATCTTCCAAAAGCACGTCTTCGAACCGTAACCCACATGTCCCACAAGCCCAATACACAGCGTAAGCTCGAATAGTTCTGCATCCCAAATCCCTTTTGGTTTTTGTTTGGCTTAGTCAGGCTGTGATGGGTTTTCAAAGTTACGACTGGATGCTCGAGTCTGAGCTTAGAATAAGCCCGGCAAGTGAGAGCTACGGTTTGGGGCTTAGTGGCTTGCAGGATCTCTGTGCAAGCCGGACGCCTTCGAGCATCGTTATCTGTGGACATGTGAGAAGGTGTAACCCCATGTACCCAAACAGTATATACTTTGGCCCCAAAGTGCCTATAAAGGGACGATTTCAAGGCCAGAGCATAATCTGTTTGGGTACATGGACCCTGAGGGTAAGCATTGAACTTGCTTGTGGGCGGAGTGTCTGCGGAAAGCGCACGGGCCGATTAACTTTCGGCTAGGATGAGCCAGGCTGCATGCTAAGGCATCTAAGGCAGGAATAGACTGAAATGGATCCGCCCTCGACCCCCCTTGCCCCCACACCCAAGGGTTCAGCACAGCCCTCGAAGTTCCAAGCCTTGCATCATCTCAGTTGCCTTGAGTTTACCCATAGGCCCCAAAGTAGTTCCTTTTTGGGGGTTACCTTACAGGGTTCTATATATGAACCCCCAAAAAAGGAACTACTATGGGGCCTTGCGGTACAACCCAAGCACTAAAGCGGGGCCCGAAAACACTAAACTCTGGACCCTAAGTAATAGACTCTGAACCCCACGCCCTAACCCCCACAACCTTCCGGGGCCGCCGAAAGCATGAGCATTCAACCAAAATCCTTACACCATACAATAAGCCCCTAAATCGAAGGCCTAAACCCTAGACCCGGATCCCCAAACCCGAAGCCCTAAGCCTCAAACCCTAAAACCAAAGCCCCTAAACCCGAAGCCCTGAACCCTTAACACCTTAAGTTCTTAAGCCTATACCCTAGTCCCTCAAGCCTTAACCCCAATCCCTTAAGCCTAAACCCTAGTTCTTTCAGCCTAAACCCCAAACCCTAAACCCTAATTCGATAAGCCTTAGCCCCACATGATCTCGGCGGCTGCAGACGGAAAGCCGAAGGAGGCTCCAAAAACGCTGTCTTTTGAATCCTCAACCCAGTGCTTAGAGGGGTTCAGGGTTTTAGGGTTTAGGGTTTTAGGGTTTAGGGTTTTAGGCTTTAGGGTTTTAGGGTTTTAGGGGTTAGGGTTTTGGGATTTCGGAGTGTAGGGTTTAGGGTTTGGGGGTTTATTCGTGGTTCGAATTGAGGTTTTGGGGCGTAAGGTTTAGGGCCATGAAACCACTGACAGGCGTGCAGCCTGTAGTTATGCAGCGAACGTGAATAAATCTTCTTGCTTGTTGTTCAGACTGCGGAGGGGTGAAGTTCACGGTAAACCCTTATTATAAACCTTAAATCCTAATTTCAAATTCTAAACCCTTACTATAAACCCTAAACCCCGATTGTGAACCTAAGCCCCTCTTATCAACTTTAGATATACCCCCCCAAAAAAATTGAAGAAATCTGGAGCTCTGCAGACTCTGCAGCTCAAAAGCCCTGCAAACCCTAGTCGTTCTTAACCTACCCCCTAGATCCTCCCAAGTGTAGGTGCTCGGGCAATTAGTCGCAGGGGTTTTAAAGAGCTTGTGAGTCTTGGGCTCAGGGCTCCTAGTTTAGGGTTTAGGGTACCAACTCAGGGAAGACAGAATGTTAGTAAACAGGGTACCCTTCTTGTTGAGAAGTTCCAGGGGAACCCAGAACTGAACCCTAACCTGTCCCGCCCAAACCCAAACCCCACGTACTATTTGGGTAGCTTCTCTAACTGACGTCCACTTTAGGGTGCTTTTGATAAATCATAGGAGGTCAAAACGGGTTTTAGAAGGCATGGGGGTTTAGTAGGGATTAGGGTTCCCATAATGGGGTTCATATTAAGGAATCCCTACCCCAAGAATCTTAAACCACCCTTTTGGCTTCCCATCAATAAAGGTGCCTTACTACGTTGGAGACCTCAAAGGGGCACTAATTTGGAGAATTTCCCCCCAATAGTAGCCGCTACTGGTAGTACCTTTATGATTATAACCCTCAGAGGAAGAGGAACCCTTACACCCCACAGTACCCCTATTGTCACCTTTGCTATAATACCTTTACGCTGTCCTTCAAAGGCGCCCTTAACCCTGGACTCTATCGTAATGCAGGGGCGTTAGTAGTTAGGCTCCTTACTAAAATTATAGTATGATATATACCCCAAACCCCTATTCCACTTATTAAGGCCCCTAAAGTGCCCAACCCATGTTCTTCGAGGCCGCCTGGCACGGCTTACCCTACTGGCATGGGCGCCTGGGACGCGGAAAGGCTTGCTTGGGTTCGTGGGTTCAGGGTTTAGGGTTTTGGAATTTGGGGTTTATAATTATATATTATGGAATTTAGGGTTTATAATTATATAGGGTTTGTGGAATTTAGGGTTTATAATTATATAGGGTTTAGGGTTGTGGAATTTAGGGTTTATAATTATATAGGGTTTAGGGTTGTGGAATTTAGGGTTTATAATTATATAGGGTTTAGGGTTGTGGAATTTAGGGTTTATAATTATATAGGGTTTAGGGTTGTGGAATTTAGGGTTTATAATTATATAGGGTTTAGGGTTGTGGAATTTAGGGTTTATAATTATATAGGGTTTAGGGTTGTGGAATTTAGGGTTTATAATTATATAGGGTTTAGGGTTGTGGAATTTAGGGTTTATAATTATATAGGGTTTAGGGTTGTGGAATTTAGGGTTTATAATTATATAGGGTTTAGGGTTTTGGAACATGGGGTTTATAATTATAGGGTTTAGGGTTTTGGAATTTGGGGTTTATAATTATAGGGTTTAGGGTTTTGGAATTTGGGGTTTATAATTATGGGGTTTAGGGTTGTGGAATTTAGGGTTTATAATTATGGGGTTTAGGGTTTCCGGAACTTAGTTTTGGCTATTTTGGTTACCATACCATACTATGTACTATAAATCCCGATTCTGAGACCAGATAGCTGAAACAGGAACCATACATATATATGTAAGTATATATGTACGTATGGATATGGCTATTTTTGTAAGGAATTATGCACGTATGTCTTTAGTTAGATGTTGTATATGTATATATGTAGGTTCAACGGTTTCTTCTGTCTTGATCTTTTTTCCGGCTTCGGTTTGCCTTATTCAGTGAGGATCTGGGTTAAGTGTTTTAGGGGCCCTAGAGAATAAACCAATCTCAACCTGAGTCCTAAAGCCTGAGACCCTAAACCTCAATGTTGAGCCCGGGATGGCCGGGTAAGGTTTCGATGATTCGATCAGGGGCGAAGGATTTGTGGGCACACTGATCCTCGAAGCTTGGTGAGGCTTGGGGTTCAATCGCCCAGCACTTGATTTCATGAACCCGAAACCCTCAACCGCCCAACACTTGATATGGTTGATAATATAAATCCTGCATTACCTCACGGACCTTAATCTATGGGTCGGAATTATAGTATATATTCCTGTTTATGGGTAATGCAGGATTGAGATTATCAACCGTATCACATTTCTCCACAAGAGCAGACTGATAGCCCGAAGCCTTGGCTTCGCAACCATGGTATGTTATAGTACCTTACCGAATCTTAGTAGTATAAGTCATGGTTTAGGGTTTAGGGTATAGATCAATCACAGTGCACTAGACAGTGTCTATCATATCATCTTGATTTAATTATTTGCGGTGTTTCGTTCCGAACTACACTACTGCAAATGGGCAGCTGTCAGAAGAGCGCCCTCAAACCAGAAGCCCGAACTCTATCTAAACCCTGAAGCAATCCGACACGTTCCACAAGCTGCGCTTAAACCTCGTATGTATGTATGTATATGCATGTATCTATGTATGTACGTATGTATTTATGTATGTATGTTGTATGTACGTATGTACGTACGTATGTACGTATGCATGCATGTACGTATATATGTATATAGGCATGTATGTGTCCAGCCTGAATGGTGTGCCAGTGTAGCGATCCTAATCATTGGTGACGACGAGTATCCACTCATGTAGCACCAGTATAGTTACAGGGCATATACCCCAACAGCATACTTGAAGTTGTATTAAAGTTCAGTAGCTTCCGGTCGTAGATGCCATCGGATGTAGACATTTTCGGTCAACCATGCTTTGGAGGCAAGAGTTGCGATCCCGGAGCTTGGATATGGATTTTCCCAGAGACTGCAAAACCTCTTGTTCATGGAATAATCCGTAAACTACATGAAGACGTTTGCTTTGTAAGGTCTATTGGTTAGGTTAGGGAAGTCGCTGGTTTGAGGGGATTGTATCTTCTCTTGCTATGTTGTTGTCTCCGCAGCGGGCGTTCCAAATCACACCCGAGCAGCAGTAGTCTTCGGAGTGTAGCGACTTATCAAACAAATCATCGGACTTAGTGGCCACGGGTAACTATATATATATATGTATGCACATATTCATAGCTAATTACTTATAACCACAATTTTAGAAGGTACTTATGACAATACTTACTAAGTCCCATGATCCTCCAATCTCGGCCCAACAGAGCTTAACAAAAAAACTCCAGACCCTGCAAGCGATTGCTGCATGCTCGGGTGTAGGGTTTAGGGTTGCGCGCATCTCTGCCGTGGTGAGTTCCGCAGCCATCGTCAAGCACTGTTGTGGAATTAGCCCCTTTGAGGGGAGCCAAGGCTTGAGTTACATAGGGTTGATAAGCTGGTATCTGATCAGCAGTGGTTTAGTGCCGACTTCACAAGCTCCAAGTCTGCTGCTAGTGTAAAGTTACTCTGCCCGCAACGGGAGTACCGGCAAACGTGGCCTTTAGATGGTGGTTGCTTAATTAAGTTGCTTACCCCGAACCCTGAAACCCTGAACCAAGAACGCATCCTACGAAGTTGAAAAGGAGAAGGGGCACTGAAGGATTCAAGCTTCAAAGGGTATTAGGGGATCTCTTCTCTTTAACTTGGCTCTAGTAGGGCTGCTTGGAGGTTCATGGGTAGTTATAAGCAGGGTTATAAGTAGGGTAACAATACTCATAACCCATATTATGGGACATAGAACCTTACTTACTAAGTCCCATGACCCTCTAAGTGGGATTCTAGATTGCAGGGTTGAGCGATTCTACGAGCTTTCCGGTTGGCGCGGGAAAAGGATGATGAAGTCATCTCACAGGCACCTGCAGGAATATTGGTGCTCTCTTTGCTTGGGCAGCTCTATCTATGCCTCCGACTAACATCAGATCACCTCTTCGTCATCCGAGCATCCTGGCCTCTCGATAGCAGGTGCCCGAGCCGCACACTTCTGGCGGCCAAAGCCAAAGACATGGATGCCGCAGCCCGCGCGAACCGGGCCAATCAGATGAATCCCAACTACTCATCACATCGCAAGAAGAAGGGACCAGCGACGGCCGCAGGCCGTGCGAATCGGGCGAACCAGATGAATCCCAATTAATTACTCATCACATCGCAAGAAGGGACAAGAGACGGCATCTCGTCGCGCCAATCAGTTGAATCCGAACCATGCCCAGTATTTCGAGAGTCGCGGCCAGCCTCACCCCCCAAGAAGGACAAGCAAGCACATGCACAGAACAAAGCCCGGGCCAGGAAGCATGCAAACAACTTTGGGAATCGTGCTCGGGCACTCAAGCCAAGGGACAAGGTGCACGAGCCAAGCTTGAAGAAGTTCTCGAGTGTGCTGCGGGGAGTGTGCGGTAGCGGTGCGCATATCATCAAGAAAGGTTCTCGCAGAAAAGGCACAGCCATTCCCGGTTCCGACTTGGACTATCATATAAAGACGGAGAGACAAATAAGCATTGATGAACGCGAGCAGATCATGGCAAACTCGGAGGCAAGGGGCCTAGATATTACTGTCAGGAAGGCGTTTACAGTGCATCCCCCTGAGGGACCCAGTATCGACTTTTTTCCTCCAGACGCTGAGTGGCATGATGGTGTGCAGGTGCAGGCGCCACGTCATCCACCCATGCGCGATGGACGGCGGAATGCCATCAAGAAGCTTAAAGAGAAAAAATACAGAAGAAAGGCGCAAGACTGAGAATCAGACGGACTGGTGCGAAGTGACGAGCTATCAGATAGAGGAGCTCGTGGAACGTATAGAAGTCACGAAAGGTTTCAATGCGAAAACCGATCCCAGCGGTGAGAAGCTATTCTCTGAAGCTCAGCGTCGTATCACTGCAGGAACCTGGAGAAATCAATGAAGACAATGCATTCTCAGGGTAGTATGTGTGGAGACTGCATGAACGAAGCTTCGTGCAGTCGAAAATAGCTCCCGGCTGTGCACACGCGCGGCTCCGGGCCCTCCGGAACGCAGCTCTCTCACAGTAAAATCCGTGTTGAGTGTGCAAAGCAGGGTTTACATGTTTCTTTCTGAACATTGAGGGTTTCGGGTTTGGGGCTTACCACTCCTGGGATTCTTTCGTCAAGCCGCCAGCGAAGATTCATGATGAACTAACACAAATATTGACAACGCAGCTGGAACTTTGGGACACTTTGTCAATGTACCTTATCCTAGTAGTAGAGCAGGCAACCTTTAACCGTGTTTGGGTAGTGTAGTCCCCTTAGAATCCCAATATAACCAACAAGGTTAACCTTGAGTTCCCCATGATACCCGACAAGTAGGTTGTGGTCCAACAGGCTGAGGCGCCTGCTAAAGGGGCCTAAATAATTACCAATATTATGGTTAGGGCTCCCTATTTTTACTATAGCATAATGGGCACCAAGTCCCTATTCTAATTATTAAGGCTTTGATATATTACTATATTACTCTTTAATCGTTGCTGGTTGGGGGGTGAGGGGTTGTTGAGGGGTCAGGAAGATCAGGCAATTTGCTTCCCAAAGGCCCTCGGTGTTTGGAACCTCGTTTGTTGGGAAAGTTTAATGTAGGGCCTCAATAGTTAGAATAGGGACTTGGGTTTTATTCTGTGATGACTATAAGTAGGGACCCCCAAAACAGTATAGTGAAGTATTAAAGCCCCTACGTATATTATTAGGTTTAGGGCTGGCTATCTCCAAAATAATATAGGTGATGATTAGAGCCCCTACATTATTGGGTCTCGGGCTGGCTATCCTCTTAGCCATCTTGGCAAATGATATCGCGAATCCACCGGTGATTCTGGGACGCCTTCGTCTTGTGGTGAGGAGCCCTTCGTAGGTTTTAGGGTTTGGGGTTTAGGGTGGAGCATTGCTCCTCGCTTGCCAGCTGTTGGTGATGAAAGTTTGGGAAACTTTACATCTTAAGCTCGGAGGCAACATTCTAACCCCAACGCCCAAACGCGCCACGCTGCATGGGCCCAAATCCAAATCCCAAATGCCTACACCTAAACCCCGAAGACAACAATCCCAAACCCACTGGGGCTTATGGGCCTTTACTTGGGTAATTGTCAAAATTATGGTCCCTAGTTTGGTAATTGCCCTAATTATTAGGTGTCGTATTATATTAAGGACCCCGAAAGGGACCATAATTTTGACAACCACCCACTTCACAAAAAAGAACCCAAGCAGACTCCGAGCTCTGCCACCCCAAGCTCGCGAAACAACTAGGCGACCCGTATCTAAGCGCCAAGTTAAAAACAGCCCGGAAACCGTAAAGCGTGTTATACTGTATTATAATAAAGCAATAAGGTTTTCTTTTAGTTTACTATAGTCAATATAACAGGGAAGCCCTCAACCCCTAAACCCTATAAGCACTAAGCCACTAAGCCCTAATCCCGTTAAACTTGTGCTAGAACTGGGCAGCTCCCCGATTGGTGGCTGAAGCTGACTCAGAGGCGGTACAGGGTTAAAGGTTTGGGGTTTGGGGTTTAGGGTTTAGGGTTTAGGGGGTTTAAGGTTCAGGGATGTTCTGGGTATTGGGGTTTAGCAAACGGGTTTAGGTCTCAGAACAGACTTCAAGTTTTAGGGTTATGGCCTGCGGGGGTGGAGAGTGAGATTTTGGATATATTTAGTTTAATCCTAATCCCTAAGCCCTAAACCCCATAAACCCCAAATCCTAAACCCTGAACACTCAGTATGTTTTGGGAGGGGGTGTAGGCTGAGGGTCTGAGGGGGTTCGAGTTTGAGGGCTTGCGCTGAAGGTTAGGATTTAGGGTGTCGGGTTTAGGGTTTGTGCTGAAGGTTTGGGGACATCTTCTTAATCTTGTGGAAAGAGCTGCTCAGATGGAAAGGCTTTCACAGAGTTGAGTTTTGGTGCATGGAGAGCATTAGGATATCCGTGACTTCAGCAGAGAGGCCCGTTGCACGTGCTGACTCCCAAACTAAACCAGCATCCCAAAGCGCCCGAACCTCACACGTTTAAATCTCGACTCTGGTTGTAACTACTGGACGCCCGCACCCTACCTATAGTCTCCATTGTAGTTCCTTTTCTTGGTGAACCAAAATCTCCATTATACTAACCGTAAAACTGGTTAACCCAAAAAAGGAACTACAATGGAAACTATAAGTAAATCCTAAACCCGTTGGCCAACCAAATGCTCTGGGATCCGGCGGGGTCCACTTCGTAAGGTTCAGAGTCGGAAGGGGATACTCGAGGGGGCAAATTAAACGAGAACGAACACTCTTTTGGGGCTCCTCATTCTAAGCTCAGTCTAATATACATGTTTTTTTTGGGGGGAGGGGGGTGGGGGGGTCCTGATCATATTGAATATAGTCGGCGAAGCCTTAGTATGAGTACAGCATAACATACTTTTTGGAGGTATCCTTCAAATTGGTATAGTACGATAGAGCCCCCAAGCTGTATTCTACTTTTTAAGGCCCCTAAAGTAAGCTCCCTATGCCCTATACACCCGCATAGCACCCCGTAGAACCCTATAAGAAGCCGTTTTGAACCCCAGACAACCCTGTCCTAATTATTCTGCCCCCCTCTAACCAAGGTCAAAAAATTAGTGGATTTCCCGCGGAATCTTCACTTGTACAGGGTTTTAGGGCTCAGGTTAAGGAGTTCTGGGTTCAGATGTCCTTCTTCCTGGCGATGCTGGTTCGTATTCTGCTTGCAGTTTGGCTTTGGGTTTTAGGGTTTAGGGCTTTGGCTTTGGATTTCAGGGGGCCGTTGTTATTGATGAGGATTTGGAAGGTGGCTGTCAAGGCACTCGCCACAATTCTGAAACAGATGATGGTCATGCAGAAGCTGGCAGATGGCAACGGCAATTACGATGAATATGTTTTTTCAATTATAGTCATGAGGCCGCGGTGGCGATCATGAGCCGCATGGCCACCGCGTTCATCTCTATCCCAGCTTCAACCACATCTCTAGTCATCCAGCCGCGAACTCGTTTCTCTTCCGGTTGGAGCCCCTGATCGCAGATGTTTTCAGCTCCTGGTATCAGGACTCCTAACCCTAAATGTTACACCCTAAACCCTAAACGCTAAACCGTGCTGGACCCCCCTTTGAGCCAGCAGAGTTCTTGCTCAGGCACGGCCCGGATTCAGCAGCTGTTCGGCTGATGAGTGGGAGGTGCGGTGGCCAGGGTTTCCAGAGTTCCTTCCCAAAGGGTCCTATGTACTGTTATGGGGAATACTTCCCCAAATCATAATAGGAATTCCTAATATAGAAACCCTACATTCTACTATATCGGTACTTTGGACCCTTTGGGTTTGTGAGATTCCTGAGTTGTACCCTTTTGCCCTTCTTGTTTTGGTGTCCCTTAATTAAAACCGAGTAGTAGGAAAAAGGGTACACTTATTGTAAAGAGGCTACTCAGGAACCTAGTTCCTTTTCTTGGGCCACGGTCAGGGTTTTGGCCTTCACGACAAGGATTTAAAAAGCTCGTGGCACTTACATTGGTTCCGTTCGGACCTCGCAAGACTTGGAGGATCATGGGACTTAGTAAGTATGGTGATAAGTACTTTCATTGGGGTTATAAGTACTGATTAGCATAGTTACCCCAATAGTAACCTTAGTTACTAAGTCCCATGATCCTTTAAGTAGGGTCAGGTTCCAGGGGGTACTAGGTCAAGTGAACGAGCCAGAAGAGCCAGAACTTTACTGGTAAGTAGGGTTCAGGGTTTAGAGCTCAAGGTTTGGAGTTTAGGGTTGGAGGTTTAGGGCCACTGACTTGTCAAGCACCACAGCATTCGTTTCTGTAGCCAAGGCCGCTTGCTGCACCCTCGCGCCATTGACAACTTCCAAAGACCCTAACGCTGCACCCCTAAGCGCCGTTCAATACCCTAAGAGCTCTGCGTTGGTTTTTGTGCAGCCACACACGGCTTCATAGAACCCCGCCTAAAGTCTAGAAGCCCCAGAGTTAATGCCCGGAAGCTCGACACCCTGAGCACGACATCAACTTTCAGAAATTTGAGCCCTCAACTAGAGAGCACATAATTGTATGTGCTGAACCCTCCCCCGTTTTACAGATAGTACCGTGAAAAGGTGCAGTGCTTAGGTGCTATTTCGTGATCTCGTGAAACCCTAGACCCCTCAAGCCCACCTTGGCCCCGGAAAGCCTACCTTTCTGAGGACTCAGATAAAGAAGTCAAACAATACTACTAATGATAAGAATAATCCCAATAATCGTAGTAGTAATCCTAATATCCGTAATATTAGTACTAATATTAGGAATAATAATGATATTGAACCATATGGATCATAGTCACACTAATAGTAATAACAACAACAATAATACTAAGAATCAAAAGACTAACAAGGGCCCCTATAATCGCCCGAGGCTGATGTGCCTGAGCCTTTAAGAGCCTGAGGCGGACCTCCTCCTGAAAAACCTTAACCCAAACTACGAACCCATAAACCCAGAGACTCCAGAAGCTAAAAGGAATACATAGGGTTCCTTTACGGCATCTATAAGGGATCCTCAAAGGGATTTATAGGGTTGAGGGTTTAGGAGACTTCAATATCCCTTGAATTCAGGAAATCTTCCTTAAGTCGTATAAAGGGTCCTACAATAATGGAAGGTATATTCTTGAATTAAGGGACATGGGAGTCTCTGGGAACCCCTAACCAGGACCCCCAAGTACCTTTTAATGGAGCCCTTATGGCCCTAATGGTGGGTATTTAGGGTATATTAGAGGGTAGTTGGGTTGTGTAGG